CCTTGAAGGACCAGAGGGTGAAATTGTCTTCCCGGATCCTGGAGGAGACAATCTGATGAAAGCAGAAGGCAGGGAAAATCTATCACCATTTCCAAGAGACGTAGAAACCACGGTCACTATTGCCAAGAAGCCAGATTACCATCGTAAGAAGAAAAAGGAAGGAAAACATAACTCCTCTGGAAAGCCCAATCCTGGGAGAAAGCATTTGTAGCTTGAGCTGTTGAATCCGGTCTCCAACTGAAAAAAAAAGCAAGGAAGTTGAATATTCAACCATAAAGCGAAGAGATCCACTCCCAAAGTCCCAGACTCCTTTGAAAACCACAGGATACAGACGCTGAAATCCTTGAGGTGACGGAAATATCAATTTGCCGTAGTGTTAGAGAGGCTGAGAATGTAATCAGCTGTCACAGAGATACCGTGCGTGGGACAAAAGTGCCACAAATCTTGTGCCATTTTCAGGAGTGTATTCTGGTTTTGTGCTGCCCTAGGCATGAAAAACCTTGGTCCCCCTTTCCCCCCACTCCATATTTCTCTTCCTGACAGACACACGCCCTCAATGATGCATGCGCTGACATATACTCACTTACAGATACACAGTCATTGTCACACACACTGTTTAACCAACACACACTTTCACTGAAACATACACATTCACAGAAATAAGCACTCAATCATTCACATTTACACACACACTCACATTCACCGACAGACACACATATACATTAACTGACACTCACAAGGTCAGGCACACACACACACACACTGGGACACACTCACTGACAGTTACACACTAACAAATATACACTCTCAGTGACACACACACAATTTAAAAAATTCAAGGTTAATTCACCCAGCCGCCCTACCTTTCCGAGTGCTGGAATGGATTTGTCCCTGTGGTCCAGTGGGGCTGGCTGCAGCTCAGCGGGAAGTCAGACGCAGAGTGGAGGCGAGCGACGAGGGAGCTTTGATCCTCCTGTTCAGCTGCCTCGCACGCCTCTTAGTAATGCCGGGGCCAGAGTGACATCATATTCCGACTCTGGCATCACTGCAGTGCGCGCAAGGGAGCTGAGCAGGAAAGAGCTCAGGGGAGAGAGCTCCCTCGCCACCCGCCTCCCACATAAGGCAGATGCCAGCTTCGGGGCATTTATGTATGATTGTCGAGATTGACCCAGTACCCTGAAAGAAACTGATCCAAAATGAGTTAGGAGCCTTATCAGCGTAGGGAATGGAAAGGGAGGGAATCCTATGGATTTGTTAGTGTGAGCAGTATGTCATACACACAGGCTGAGACGGTGTTAATAGGAGCTTGCTACGGGAATACCCACAATGTCTGGGAGGCTTCCTATAGAGTGGAGCAGGGGTTCCAGGGATAGCTCGAACTGAAGAGGGGAAAGAGGGCATACATGTATAATTCCACTGAACAACGTGAAAGGGGTGGGCCTAGTTCCAGGTATCAATATTTCTATCAGAGAGGTATGTGGGTCTTAATAGCTCTCACAAGCCCCTTGGGAAAACCCCAATGAACCAGTAAGCCAAACAGGTATGGCCAAAGAACCCTGTCTTCTCAACATCCAAAGAGAGGACCAGAGAAGGCATTAGTCTGCTGCCCTCTGGGTATATTCAAAAAGCTTTCTATCTCTGATAAATCCCATCTGGTCCTTTCAAGTAAATGGTTTCTTCAGGTTTTGGCTTTGAGTGGTTAATTTGGGTAATAAGGAAAAGGTATGTTTAGTTTTTTGGGAGGGGTTTAATTTAGAGTTAGGGAAAAGGGTGTTCAGGGCATATGGAGTTTGAAGTTATATGCAAAGTACCCTCCTGTGTCATCTATAGTCCATTCCGCCTTCTGTGATTGATACTAGAACTGCATGAACGGTTATACAGTATGCATCACTTAATGCTGCCCCTTCTCCACCTGCAAGGCACTTCCTATGTGAGAAGTTGTTGTTCACCTTCCTTTAGCAGATCTGACGATGTTTTTCAATTCTTGTCCAGCCTTACACACATACACTGGAGGAGTCAGTATAGCACTGTGTTGTACACCGTCTAAAACTGTTCCTACAATTCTGCTATCAAGCATATTGAGCTAACTGGATTACAGAGGCTCCTGGAACACATCTCTTAACCAGTTCGCTTAATGGGACACTCTGGCACCAACACAGCTTTAATGCATTGGAAAGGTGTTGGGCCTCATTAATATGGTATATTTTTTGCATGTTCAAATCTAGAGATGTCGCGAACTCGGGTCAGCTGACACATCCCGGCCAATCTCCGGCAGACCCTCCCTCCCACCTCCTGGACAGCATCCATGTTGAAGCTGCCTTCAACATGGATGCTGTCCAGGAAGTAGGAGGGTCTGGGAGCAAGGGTCTGCTGGAGATTGGCCGGGATGTGTCAGCTGACCGGAGTTCGCCACGAACCGTTCGCAACATCTCTATTCAAATCTTTATAGTTGTTGCATAGCCATGCCACATTTGTACTGAATGACCTGAATTACTCATCAACCTGTATTAGAAAGTGAGGACACCCAGGGAGGCATAGAGTAATTAAAAGCAGCTCACTTAGTCCTTCCAGGACAGAGACTGTGTGAATGATAAGTAAGTCCTTCTGGCATGAGGGGGCATTGCTAAGGAAGACGGCTTATAGTGCAGCATTATGCAAAACATTTACTTTTTTTTATTTTAATTCTTTATTTTTGAAGTGCAGATAAATACACATCCTCTCGCCAAGCCCCAACAGCTTGAGACCAGGAAAGCAATTTACACAATTTATAAGCATTAAGGCGTTGGTAAAAGATAAACATGCACATATATATTTTTAAACGTATAACAACAGATTTAGGAACATGCATATCAGTTTTGTCCTAGGCAGTATCCTTGCTTAGATCTGTTTGTGAGGGTAAACGTGTACGACTATGTCATAGTCTGCGCATACAGCAGAGGGGGACGTTAGCTTGGTTCCCCGAGAGGTATCATATTGGTAGCTGTTTGAAAAATAAACTAAAACTAAAACTTAAAAAATAAAGAACAGAAAATGTAGCAATGGTAAAAGAATATATTAACACTAACCCATCATTGTATAGAGGGGAGGTTTGCAAGACATGGGTGTGATGTCTGGGTTAGGTGTGCGACTCTGCGAGGGCCTATGCCATTTCAGGAGCGGGTGCTGGCCCATATTTGCCTGTAACCACTGTGTGTCAAACGGTCTTGCCGTCTAAGGGGTGTTGAGGGTGTAGGGGTTGCGTGCATTGGGAGCCTCGCTAGTGTATGTGGGTGAGAAGTAGTTTGCAGAGTAATGCCAACAGGGGTATAGAAGTAAAGGGAAGAGGAGAGAAGAGACAAAGGAAATATGTACACAATTCCAATGGGTCAGCGGGGCATCCAGTTCGTGGGGTTATCCCTGGGTATGGTGGTGTGAGCTCCTGTCAAAGTTCAAGTTGTTGCTGCTGCGTACTGGTCTGGCGTGCGTTTTTGTGGGACAAAAGGGGCAATCTGGTTTGGGTCCCAGTTATGGGTACGTTGGTTCTCCAGTTTGTGTTGGTCGAGGGAGTCCACAGGCAGTCCCAATGTGTGCAGCAAGGCCGTGGCTTCCTGGAGCTCTTGGACTTGGTGAGTGGTATCATTATGGTAGACCTGCAGCGTGCGGGAGGGGCGCCAGCGGTACCTCACATCGTGTTCTTGAAGGAGTGCAGTCAGTGGTTTGAGGGATCTGCGCCAGGCTAAGGTTTGCCCTGATAAGTCAGCGTAGAAGGTGAGTGTCATTGTTTCAAACTGGTATGGGGTTTTCCCCCTCAGGGCGTTAAGCACAGTGGTCTTGTCTGCTCCACTCCTGAACTGGACCACCAGGTCCCTTGGTTCTGCAGTTGAAGCCTTGTTGGATCTTGGGATGCGGAACAAACCCTCCAGCTGCATTGCCCTAGCTTGTTTCGATGGCAGCAAGGTGTCCCACAGCCGCCTTGTGAAGTGCGGTAACTCCGCGTCCAGAACGGTCTCGGCTACCCCCCGCACCTTTAGATTGTTGCGGCGCCTGTTGTCCTCCAGCGCTGCAAAGCGGCGTTCGTGCATCAAGTTTTGTGTGCGTAGGTCTGCCATCTCCCGTTGGAGTGTTGCTATATGCTGGGTGTTCTGGGTAGTTGTGCCCTCCAGGGTTCCCATGCGGCCTGTGAGGCCCTGTATATCGCTGCGGACCGCTGCCACATCAGCTGAGATATGTTTCTGGAGGTCGGCCAGGAGTTCCTGCAGCACCGCTTTAGTCACCGGTGCGCTGTCAGGTTTGTCCGGGTTGTGCTGCAGTCTTGTTGCCCCTCGCGGGGTCTGTTCCTCCATTCCGCCAGAGTAGTTATCCGAGTAATCGGATTCACAGTCTGAGAGGGCGGCCATTTTAGGCCCCGTCACTCCCTGCGCCTGGCGCCACATATCGCCAATCGTCATCCCCAGGTTTGGTTTGTCGGGTCTTTGTTTTTTATTCTTCCTCCCCATGTCGGTTAGGCTTTGTGTGGGGGTTCCCCGGGTCCCGATGGCTGGAGGTAAGGCGGCTAGGAAACCGATTGTCGGAGCTCTTAGATTTGCGACCGCTCGCTACTGCGTTCAGCCCCGCCCAACATTTACTTTTTTTAATGCAAAACTATAAAGATTTCAGCATGCAAAAGTAATATAGCATATGAGGTAAAATCAAATTCATTAAAGTTGTATTGTTGCCCAGAGGGTCCATTTAAGCTCCAACAAGGCACATTATAAGTGCTGAAAAGAGGTGACCTCGAGAGAATATGAACCTTTAGTCAGGTGCCTACACTGCCTAATTTGAAATCCGGCCCTGAATGTCTCATATTCTTGGGCAAAGAGCACGAATAAAGGGAAAGACAGACCTATGAATTTAATCATTCTCAAACCTCCTTAATGCCATCAAACACCATATAAGCTTTGGAATGGGAATATTTGATGAAGTGTGGGTGAATGTGAATGGATTTGCAATGTGAGAAACAGGGAAAAAAAATTAAATTAATTATTTATTTAAAAATATAAAGTGGAGATATTTCACCAATAATACAAATTATGAACCTAAATTTTACAATATATAGTTCACATTAATTATGTAATTAACGGTCCTATTTACACAGTATCTTAAAATGTACAGCAATTGGTAAAATTATGTCTGTCTTCGCACCTCCGCAGACAGTTAATGGAAGACAGGAAAACATTTTACAGTGAAAGAATAGGCATTTTTATATTTTAATCAGCCACTCCAGGTTCATTCTTTATATGTTTAAATTGGTATATCCATCAAAAATAAAGGCTGTAAACAAAAAGCTCTTTACTAGAAACCATTTATTTAGGATGGAAGATGTCACATTAAAAGAGACACAGCACCAGAACAACTAAAAACAAACAAACAAAAAATACAGAGACAGATCTTGTATCAGTTCTGATGTGGTTTCTTTCTTTCAGTAATAAATGTCATAGCAACAGCATAAAGCAGGTAACCAATTAATAGATAGAACGTGCAGCTGATGGGTCTCACTGACAGCAATGCTGCAAAAAAGTAAAGCACAATTAAGTAAAAAAGTATCTGGTAGCTGGCTAGGAACCGCAGGCGAATGCGAGGCCTCTGTGACTCCAAGGATTGATGTGAAGTATTTGGACTTATCGTACGTGTAGGAAGACTGCTGATCAGAAAGTAACGGCAGAATTTGCCAAGAAAGTCCCTGCGTGCACACAACGCATCCATTCTGTCTGAAAACTGTAAGAAAATAGCAGTTGAGAAACAGTCAACAATTGTTCTGTAAGATACTGCAATACAATCAGCATTTTGATTTTAGACTTACACCCATTTATTGAGCATTTTCTGTTTTGTTTAGGTGCCGAGGTGAGAAGTGCTGATTATAACTTGGTATTTTCACTTAAATTATAAATGTTGGGCAGACTTTGAGCCTGATCTGCTAAGCCTTGATCTTTCTCAATTTTCTATGTGGGTCCATAAAGCACGCATATCCTTCCTCCATAGTGGGGATAGTACACTATCATAGAAGAAATACTAGGATAGAGATATGGTGCCCCCTTTTGAGAGTGAGGAATATAAAGATATTTGAAGGCAACATCTAAAGTTTCTGTGTGTGTGCAGGTGTATTCTGGACACTATAGATGTTGTAACACTATTTCCAGCAACCACCACGCCTCACCTCACACACCCAGAAACTCTCAATTTTTAATTTCCCAGCAAACCCCAGGTACTGCCTGAAGCTTGGAAGATACTCCACCTAATTTATTCTTACTTTCTTACCATATTATCATTTGTTACTAAAGCATTGTTACAATCTATACCTTTAGTTTGTCACTGTAATTTTCTGTGCATGCAATTTTTTAATATCACTGAATGTATTCCAATGATATTCCAACTACACACACGGTTATATTTTGGGTGATGAATTTGGCTGGTAAACTTTTCAATGGTATACAAAAAATGTTTACCCTCCCACTATCCTTTTCATTTGCTCCTCTTTGCTGTAATTACCTTCATATAACTGTTTCATCTCCATCTCAGTTCTTTAGGCCTTACCTCATACACCCAGAATCAACAATACAGAATATCTCTCCATTTTTACTCAGCACTACCCACCCACCCAGGTTCCTACTAAATATATAGCATGCTCCTCCAGCTGTTTGACAGTCTCATCCAATTACCTCCTCATTCCCTTTATAATTTACCAATAACTGCAACTCTCAACTTCTTTTAGCCATCACTTCCAAATTCCCCCTGCTACCGCTTGTCTCAAAACCCCATTATATTGTTTAGATTGTAAGCTCACGGGCTATCTAGCTAAGCACTTTGTATAAAAGAGCTTCAATGGTTAGATCTTAGCTTAAAGGGCAGGGCCCTCTCTAACTTTTGTATAAGTCTGTATATAGGTTACGTCCTCCACTAATTGTTCAGCGCTGCAAAATATGTTGGTGCTTTAGAACTGCCAGTTATAAATAAAATACATTTAGGCCTCCTGCCCTCATGTCTACCTTTAAAAGGTAAGATTACTTACCTTTACTCCAGCCCCACACCTGTCTCCTCATAGCTAGCCCCATGTCCCTTGATAAGATTATCAAATGTGACTCTCTCCATAGGAAAGCATTGGGAGACTAAGGAGAGCATTCATCGCCTCCATGCAATGTAGTTGTTCTGGTGACTATAGTGTCCCTCTAAGCATTTTATACCACTTCAGAACAGCTCTTTATGATGTATAGAATATGCACAGATTTTTGCTGAACACAGGGGAACCTACTAATAGATATGATGGTCTTGGCCCAAAGTAATTTTTGCGGGAAGAAGAGTTCTCCTTTCCAGAATTTATACAGACCAGATGACTCTTGTGTTTTTTCCTTTTGAGAACAATGTCATCAATCGAGGAAATTAAATAGACATACCCTTGCTCCCAACAGGGCTCTGGCTGCTTCTTGGTTTGGTTGATGCTTCCTCCCCCTCCCACAGCCATTGTAATTAACAAAGATAAAATGATGGATAAACTTAAAGCACTGGTGCATCACACTTCTACAGCATATCAAAAAGCCTGGGATTTATTAGTGGAGTTCATGGAGATGATAGACAGACTACAGTTTCTAAACCCAAAATGGCTTCTCTTACTGTGAGATATATGTATCCATATAGTTACACACAAAACTTTTTTATATTACATTCTGTGATAACAGTCTAACTGTGCCCTATAAGAATACATTGTGTATCCAAACAAAGACAGACAAATAATCCCGGAAACATCTTACGATTTGATTTAAAAAACCTGACAGCTTGAACAGGAGACGAACCATGGTAGCATTCTCATAGCTACGGATAGGCTGTAAATCTGGGTCACCGTGATACTCAATGTCAAACCTGCGCAATCCATTAACAATCTAAAAACAGGAAACATTAGATATACAAATAACCAAATTAATTGCTCAGAGCAGAGAAATTTTACAATGATCTTTTAAAATAAGTAATTCAATCAACTGGTAACTGTGAATAACTGACAAAAGGAATAAAAATATGTAGGCCAAATAGCCACAATTTGCTATTTTGGCATAAAAATTTTTTTCCCACCACTCCTGGTTTAGTAAATCAACACCAATGTGTGTTTATTAGGTGTTTCTCTGAAAAATAAAGAACCTTGAACAGCGTTATGCTGTAAAGCAATATTTGCAATTCAAATGACATAGTTTGCTTAGTTATATAATTTGTTAATATAATGGAGAATACCTCAAATATTGGAGATAATGCTGTAAAGTGAATACATAATATAAATACAATTTCAAATAAACAACATATTAAAGTGATTGCAGCAGAGTGCAGTAGAAGAAAGTTATACATGAAGCTTTCCCTTGCAGCTGCAACCATCTTCTTCCTGGAAACTTTTTGCAATACCTGCTGCTATATCTTCCAGGAGCAGTGTGACTGAGGTTCCCAAGAGAACTCTGAAGTTTCCATATATCACATCTCGCAATGAGTGAGAAAATGCCTGAATCCCACCGCCATTTTTAGTGAAGGTTGCAAGGATTTGACAAATGTTCACAGTAAAACTCTGCCTTTTGTCAATCTCAGGCTTGCTCATAAGAAAAGTAGACCCTACTTGGTTTTATAAGATCTTTGTATTGTATTGGAATTTGAATAAAATTCCAACTTGGTCTGTATGAATTTATATGCATACAATCTTCACCACCACTGTCTCAAGATTCGAACTGGATGGTTTTGAAACATTTAACACAAACACTCTTACTTTTTAAAACCATTTATTCTATAGGTGAGGGAGGTAGTACTTTTGACATGTGCAGAGCTATTCCTGGTTTCAAGAGGAGTGCTTTTTACATTTGAATTGAAAACATACCTGAAAATTGTGGTACTTTTTTTTCCCCCTTATTAATCTTATTTTTGGCCTGAATTTTTAATTCAATTCTCTACAATTCAATAAAGTGGAGGTTATGGGTTCAGATGTTAGGTGGTCAGATCCAAAGGATTGCTGCAAAAGTAAACTACATAACAGAAAAACCAACAAGCGTTTCTAAAAATGTACCCATGATGTTTTTCTTTATGATGTGTCAAATATATGCATTGATGTATTTATTTTAAAATTTCTTACATAATTTTAGTAAAAATTGTGAATATCCTAAGTCTGTTGAACAATTATGATACTATTCCCCTAAGTCCTAGGCTACGGTGAATGTCCATATGACAATGAAGAAGTTGCAAAGAAATAACCGGGTCAATGTGACACCGTCAACTTAATTATTAACGTAATTGTATTTGGGTTATTCTGATTACTGCAATGATATTGTTTGTCTTACCTGGTACCTGCCCCGTGAGGTTAGGGTCAATCCCTCTGGTGTCTCCATACACTCAGGCTGCAGATTCCTCCCGTTTACATATTGCAAGTTTCCAAAGCTCACGGAGAGCTGGTTCAGTTGAGAAGAGTTCAGCTGAGAGCAGAGGGCACAGGGTTAATAAATAGCAAGCACCTCTACAAGATTCCAAAGATTACCATTATGGTCAATGTGGGTTCTGTACCTACTGTACCAACTCCCAAAGCAATAAAAAATAGAAAGCAGCCATCAAAAGAACAATGGATCATTTGCTTTAAATTTTAGAAATTTCAGCAATTGACAACTTTTGGTAAGAATGGACATCTTAACTTAGAACCCTACTTTGATGACGTTAAAACAAGGTCATTTGACAAAAATCTGAATCATTTCTTGAAGGATTGATTTCCCAGCCACAGTCAAGATTACCAGAAGCACCCTGGTGTTGTGTGTTATGGAGGATGGCAATATACCAAACAAGACTGCCGCTGGGGTTCGTTGGAAATGGCACCTATTTCACAAATATTCACATACACATTTCCTAAATACTTTGGTTTTTGTGTTAAATCCGTTAAATCTGTGTGTGTGTGGGGGGGGGGAATTGCCACGGTTACCATGGCAACGCTCCAAATCTCGCAAGAGTGAACTCTAGCCCTGAAGCTATGGGCTAGAGTTCACTCTAACCACTGGAACCACCAGGGATTGCCCACCAGACCACCATGGATGGAGAAATGTCTCCCCTCCTCCCTCAGTAAAGGTAAGAAGGGAGGGAGACAATCTATATTTATATTAAATAAAAAAACCACATTATTTAAAAGCCTCCCCCCCCCCCCACACACACAGCACACCCATAGACACATTATCCCCCACACACTGCTGCCCCCATACACAAATTGCTCCACAGACACATACAGTGCCACACACACACTGCCCCACACATACACACGTACACTGCCCCCATACACACATTGCCACACACACACCCACACACCCCCCCCGGCTCCTATTCCCTATATCCTAGCAGACCCCAGGTAAGTTGTCAAACAGTTCTTAAAAAACAGTTTGACTACTTACTCTGGGCTAGGATCCTGGCGCTACTTGCACCATAACTACTACACAGAGCTGTAGTGGTTATTGTGCCTGGATTATTTCTTTAAATAATCTACAAATGCCCCTCCTGAGATCAGGCTCTGGATCCACAACTGCGCCAAACAGTATATGAAACAGTTATGGTAGAAGCAACAATAGTGACTTTTGCCTGCGCAGAGGCGAATGTGTTATATCTGTTACCGCGTTCAACAAGGTAAACAGGTTTCCCACTCAGGGAATACTGTGCAGTGAGTTTAGGACATGGTTTTCAGCTTTTGTGTTGAATCTTCTGTTATTGAGCATTGAACAGTGTTCCCACACAGGGGAGGTAATGCATATTTAGCAAGCCGTATAGGGTGCATTATTGGTATAGCTTTGGTACATCGTTTTTTGCCTGCGCAAAGGCATAGTATATTCTAAATCCGTAGTTGTTGAGGTCGACATGTTAATTTTTTTTCCCTCGCAGGGGAGTTTACGTATACCTTGCATATAATATACAGTACTGGTTTAGCTATTTTTAGGTTCGCTCTAGTTGATTATTTTCCCATTTGCTTCGTCTCTCCCCCTGCCCCTCCCTCCCCGCTGGATTGATGATTTGAGCATGGATCCGCTTTTCGTGTAATGGTGGGTAGCATAGCTGTCTCTTGTATTAGTATGGTTGAGCTGGTAGGTGTGTTTGTTTGAGTGATATGGGCGTTTATCGTATCTCTAGGTTTGCTGGGTGAAGTCTGTGGCTGGTCGTCAATCCCTTGGTATTAAGGGGGTTGTACGCATGGATTTAGGGAGGGGGTGAAGGATAGTCTCCCTCCCCTGCCGAAGCCGCTTGGGCATTGCCTCTGGTCCCGCCACAGCCCATCGTGCCCAGTAGTCCTCCCCCAAAGGCTCCATCTTAGTCTCAGCCAGTAGAACCATCGTTGTGTGTATCGTTCCTTATCTTTCGCCAAGGTCGCCTTTTGGTCTTCGAATTCTCTTGTGTCTTCCACTTCCTCCACCCATCGTTTAAGGGGGGGTGAGGTGGTATTTGGTTGTCTCCAGTACATGGGGATGATTACCTTTGCGGTGTTGAGGAGTGGCAGGATTACTGATCTTTTATATGCCAGTGTCGGCATAGTGGTGTGATGGAGGAGAAATGGGGCTGGCGTCTGTGGCATGTTTTCATCCGTCACTTCTCTTTTATCACTCGGCTGATCATCTCCAAAAATGGCCTAATGAGGGTACAGTCCCACCAGATGTGGGTGAAGGTTCCTCTCTCCAGCGCCAGCAGGTGTCTGGTATTTTGTGATCACGGGCATGTAGGGTGACAGGGGTAATGTACCACCTCGTGAAGATTTTATATGCGTTTTCTTGCAGTCGCGCAGATCCTGTTTTTTTTTTTTTTTTTTAACGTGGGTGATGATTTTGTCCCAGTCTGCCTCTGTGAGTGATTCATCGAGGTCTTCGTCCCATTGTCTGATGCAGGGTGGTGCCAAGAGGTATCAGTTTGTCACCAGTGAAGCGTAAATCAGGGAGATGGCTTTTGGTGGCATCGCTTCTTGTAGGCAGAGTGATTCAAAATCTGTTCGGTCTCGAAGTAGGTTGTGTTTTTGTGGGATTGATCTGGCGTAGCGCGATATTTGTTCTCTCGCCATTGTGTGTAGGAAAGTGTGTGGTTTTTCTAAAAAGGTCGGCGAACAGAGCGACTAACACATGTGTCATGCGGAGTAGTGATTTATGCTTCGTCAGAGAGGGCCTTGGTTTGCGTTGCCTCTCAAAGGGAGCATGGGGCCAGGGTCTGTCGTGAGGAAGTTATTTTTCCTCAAACAAAAGAAAGCAGGTAAGCAGTGTTTCCCTATCATGATAAGTCATCTAACAAGAAGTCCCACAGAAGGATCCTTTACAAGACAGGAGTTAAGATTTCACTAGAAAAAGAAGTGTCTTGAGCAGCCGGTCTGGAAGCAGCAGAAAAGCCATCTTTTCCAGAAATAAGTGGCATTTTGGGTAGAGGCCTCCACTCCATCTTCCATAGGAGTCGTCTACTCTGTTAAAGCTCTCAAGCTATTTTTTTGGAGGGTCCCCTTTAAAGTCCCTTATTTCCTGGAGCAAGCGGACAAACAGTTTGGACCCACACATATCTACCTTTTGATCTTGAATAAAGGTAGAGTCTTTATGGGAAAGAGTGTGGTTTATTCATCCTGTTATCTATGCATCAGTTGGCACAGGCTTTCATCCAAGCCAATATATCTAGGGCCCTAATATTGTATGGCGCTACAATGGAATACAGGCTTAAGAAAGAAGGAAGAACCAATCAATCTTCAATTAAAGGTAGCTGGAGGTACTCCAGCTACCACAAATTCCATATCCATAGTTCGTGATTAGTCTGCAGCCTAGCAGAAGGAGTTGGTGCAGGGCATAGGAATATCCTTGGAAACCTCATAAAATAAGCATTGTTGCCAAAGGAAAGGATCTTATTTGGCCAAGTTCTCCATCTGCTGAGATATAGCAGTCAGGCAACCTTTAGCATCATCTAGTATGCATATGAAGAACGATCAGTTGCAGATACAAACAAGTTTCAGGGGATCTCGGTGTCTCTTACTGAGTGCCTTACAGACTGAGTGCAAACATGGTCTGGAGATGGTAATCACTGGATTCAGAATTCTTTCTCAGCCGATCGGACAATAATCCAGGTGTAGTGTGCCCATCAGGCAAAGTCTTTCAGATGATAATGGGAAAGGAGGCATTTCCCAAATAGGGGCTATAGCATACTGCAAGTATAACTTATTTATTGGGATGTAAATTCTTACATTATTATTTGGAGTATGTATGTTTCTTCTCCCACCCTTGGTTTTTGCTTGGGTATTACCCATTGCTGTGCTGCCATTGATATGGCCAGGAAAACTGAAAATATGTTCATACTTACCGTAATTTTTATTACCTGGTCATAGACCCTGGCAGCACAAAGATCCCGCCCTGGGATATTGCTGACAACAAGACTGAGGATGGGAGGGATAGGAGGGGGTATTTATACCGTTTTCTTAATATATTCCTGTCTAATTAGGTATGGGAAGGAGCTACCCATTGTTGTGCTGCCATGGCCTATGACCAAGGAAAGGAAAGTAAGTATGAACACATTTTCTGTTATATATATATATATATATATATACACACACTATATATATATATATATATATATATATATATATATATATATATATATATATATATATATATATATATATATATATATATATTTATATTATTTTGTCACAAAGCTGCTCACCCTAAAGATCTGACAAAGGTAATCCAAGGCTTTCTCCAAGTGCTCGTCCGTCTTCCGAACACTGTTAAATCCAACTTCATCCATATCATTTCCAGAGTAAGAGTTATTCTGTTCTGTAGAGTTCATTCCAAACCAAGACAAGAAGGACTGATTGCCTAAAGCATCCGGAGAATTGTCAGAGAGCGATTTAGCAGATTGCTTTGCTTGTACTATCATATGAGCAAGTCGCAAAACCTGAAAGGGAAGAAAATCATGGTAATAAAAAAACAAAAAACCACAAAAAAAACAAAAAAGCAGGACACTAGATTTAGAAAAACTAACATGAGGCTTCATTAGGCCTGTTTAACCCAATCACATGATGTCATCCACACTTACCAGATTACGTGCATCAGTACCAAACATCTGTACATATTGGTGTTCCTGCCCTTCCAAGCTGTATACATGGTTCTTCACTTTCAATGAGGCATCTGTAATTGGCGGTTGCCAGGAAGATAAGAAGCTTCCACCTAGGTTTGGAGACATAAGGAGCCGGTGCTGCCGATGGTGAATGACAGGTTCTGGCTCCAAAAATAGTTGTTCCCCTAAAGAATAAGCAAAATAGACAATGCCATATAGAAACAAAATGTTCAGCCTTTCTTACACCTATAAACAAACAGTTGTCAAACATTGCTCACCTCTCTGAATCATTTCTGGGAGGTTGGGTTGAGAAAACACTTTCGCAACCCTGAAGACCATCAGGGCATTCTTTGGGCTACCAAGATCAGTGCGGAGAGCTCGGTTCAGAAAGCGAAGGAAGAGCTTTGTGTATATAAGCAGGTTTTCCTGCACAAAAGGTGTCCTACGTATGTGACAGGAGACATGAGTAAAGATTTTAATTAATTAAATGATGACCAAACCTTTTCGGTAAGAAACAGTCAAAATCCTCGGGGTGGGCTGAAGAGTTCCTGCTCACTGCTTCTAATACAATTATAAGGACACACATTAAATATAGATATTTATATCTGTTTTAAAAAAAAATCTAAATTTTCCAAAGGACCAGGTATACAATGTTCGCTCTCATATTTAGGACAGATACCAAAAATAGAATGAGTTTATAAGGACCAGTCATGATTTAAAGATCAGTGTTCTTCACAGTTGCATTCCATCAGCATCACGTAAAGAGGGATGCCAGTGTGCAGAGCAAAAGGAGTTGGGCCAGTAACACGAATGTATAACTGGCTGAGTCCAAATGGGTCAGTTCCGCACAAATAATAGGCAGGTTAGTATGCCATGAATGCATGCTAGGATGCCTGCCAATTACACTGGTCAACTCACTGAGGGCAGATCACGCAGTTCCCAAAGTATAATGCGAGTTCATCTAATGATATGCTCATGATATGCTTTTTGGGGACAGTTCCTCAGTTTCTGAAAATGGGACACCAGAGGGGAAAAAAAAAAGTCAGGATGGAAATACAGGTTCCTAAAATAGGGACTGTCACACAGAAATCAGGACTGTTGGGAAGCCTGGAGTTGGTTTCTTTTGATGTGGTCTACTAACCATTTTTCAGGTACACAGCGATTTTGTTGTTCGCTGATAATAGGGGTGGATCTCTCTGGGACATATCTCCAAGGCTGCAAATAACTTAGCCACATCTCCAACACCTGCAGGAAGAATGGACAGTTAGAATAATGATAATGTGTCAGTTGTCAAAGGAATAAATGCAACCAAAAACATAGGATAAAAATGACAAATAAAAGTACTTACTGCTCTAAAAGAGGCATCAAGAGGCCAGTGACCAAAGCAATGCTGCAGGAAGATGTACAGTTTCTGCTGAACGAATCTTGGTATAACCACCCTGACAAAAGGAGACAACAGGTGGCACAGTGAAGTAAGCATAGAACATTAATATATGTTTTCTAGGATGAGAACTGTTGCCTATCTGAGGAGAACCCTCACTTCTCTGAAAATTACACAATTTAAACTTTTTATTGTGGTCCTCTGTTTCTTGTTTTTAGTAAATATTAAAAATGTACTAAATTACATAATCCAATTCACTGCAGGCACAGCCAGAGTAGGGATCGACCGATTATCGGTCTAGCCGATATTATCGGCCGATATTCTGTATTTTCTGCAATATCAGTATCGGTCTATAGAGATACCGATATTATATACCAGGACCATCCTGCGGGGCCCGTATCAAGTTCTTACTTACCTTGCCAGCAGCTCCCTTCAGCTTCCCTGTCTAAATCTCGCGAGTCCCGTGGCACGCAGGCCGTGAGATTTACACAGGGGAACTGAAGGGAGCTGCTTAGAAGATAAGTAAGAACCTGCTTCAGGCCCCCACTGCACAGTCCATGCCACCGCACCACCAGGGAAATGCCATACCCCCCCCCCCCTCCCTGGCCAAGTAGAAAAATATTTAAAAAAATAAAATACATTTTTTTTTATAAATTATAAAATAAAATTATATACACACACTGCATTCACTAAATACACACACACTACACAAATACTGCATTCACTAAATACACACACACTACATTCGCTTTACGCACACTACACACACACTGCATTCACTTTACACACACTACACAAACACACTCGGCATTCATTAGATAAACACTACACAAATACACACTGCATCCACTACACACACACACTACACAAACATGCACTGCATCCACTACATGTGGCATGTATATTTTGTGCATTTACCTTTAGAAATAGTTTATTTTTTTCAAAATGGTAAATGTACAGAATTTCGATACGTTATCAGCTTTCGGCCTGAAAGTTCACAGATTATCGGTATCGGCTCCAAAAAAAATCAATATCGGTTGATCCCTAAGCCAGGGTACACATTACAAATCAGGAGAAAGAGGGACTTTTTTCAATGTCGCCTCTTCTCTATATGCTTTCCTCTATGCTGACTGCTGTGTATTTGTGAATTTATTTTTCATATTTCACTAAAACATATTTGGTAAATATAGGGAATATACATATTAAAAATTCTAGAATGTGACTGTTCCGTTTTAATATAATTTCTTGCAAAATGTATTCCCTATTATATACTTTATACTGGAGTTTTATTTCACACTGCTGATGCCAGCATAAAATCACCTTTTTAACTCCTCCAGGGGACTTGCCGTGTGTGAGTGAGCAGAAAGAGACACTATCTCTGGCCTCAGACTATTGGCAAACGTATGTAGATGTTTCACGAAGAGCCTGACAAGCAGAACATGTTCCTCCGTGGGCTGGAAAGATTCCTGCAGCCAGAAACATAAGTGAAAATGTTAAATTATTGGTCAAAAAGCCAACTATAGAATTCTGCAAACTAAGTGCAGGCCCTTGAAAATATGCAAATTAAAACTGACTGCAGTAAACAGAGCAGGAAAGGGAGTCCCAGCAGATGATAAAAGCATAGGAAGAATAGGAAGCAGATTACTGATAATCATAAACTGGATATAAGACCACATTCACTCTCTTAGGATGTAATGGCAAAAATGCTGCCCAGAAAAAAATAAAAATTCCAAAGAAATGTACAAAATTAGTTTGTTTTGAGAAACAAAATATACATGGTATAGTATATGTCCTAGGCTGCAGGTTTCCCAGTGATATTTAGGTGCTGTTTACCGATAAGCTACAACTCGTGTAATATTTTCCCAAAGAGAGACAGCATCATTACTGTGCTGTCCCCAAAGAGAACAAGTTCCAATAGTTTTATTGAATACCACCCACCTCCAAGAAAAAAAAGATAAAACATTGACAAGCTTAATTGTCAGGCTTGCATAGGATTATTGATCACAAAATAAAATGTTAATTATTGTCAAATACCTGGTTTGCAAAACAAACACTTACAAACACCGTTGGTTGGTAAAGTGCCTTTTATAATCAATACCATCTCACATCTACACAAAGCCAAACTAATACCAAATGTATTGGTTCAGTCGTACGGTTTTTGTTTGCCTTTTTAGTTTTTACTCCTTTGTCACCAGATGGAGGTAAAGACTATACATAAGCTGTAGGAAGCTGCACATGCAGCCACTCACTGCCAAAGTGACACTCTAATATCCCATAATTCTTAATATTGCAGTGGTGGGAAGTCTCTCAAATTCCACCTATCCACTTTGACAGGATGAAAAGATACACCTCTAAATATCTTTTAAAGGAACACTATAGTCACCTAAACAACTTTAGCTTAATGAAACAGTTTTGGTGTATGGATCATGAGTCTGAAGTTTCACTACTCAATTCACTGCCACTTACAAGTTAAATCACTTTTGTTTCTGTCCATGCAGCCATAGCCACACCTCACCGGCTGTGACTCACACAGCCTGGATGAAAAAAAAAAATGGTTTCACTTTCAATCAGATGTAACTTACTTTGAAAGTGTTTATCTCCTGCTCCCAAAATTGAACTTTAATCACACACAGGAGGCTCTTGCATGGTCTAGCAAGCTACTAACAGTGCAGTGGATAAGATTTTTTTAATTAAACATAATTTGCAATAAAGGAAGCATAAACATTAGATGACTCTTTACAGGAAGTATTAAAGAAGGCTGTGCAAGTCACATGCAGGGAGGTGACATTATGGTGCATAAACAAAGTGATTTAACTCCTAAACTGCAGAGAATTGAGCAGTGAGACTGCAGGTGCATGCTATATACACCAAATGGCTTCATTAAGCTAAAGTTGTTTTGATGACTATAGTGTCCCTTTAACCTATACATTTGCTGGAGGTTTTGCAAGCACAACATATAGATTAAATGCACACTGGTCCAGTAGTGACTTTATTGTCCATACATTTGGGGAGTGACAGTTCCACATTAAAATAGTGTACCTTAACATTAAAATTTTGATATTTTGACTAGTCAATTTTTTTTTTACCTTGCGTTGTTTTTTTTCCCTTAGAGTGAATGTATCTTTTCCAAAAGATTAACAAAATAAATAAAAATACATATCAGCAGACTCTCCAGCCAGAGCAGATTAGCTGCAGCCATCCAGAGGTTCAGCCAGTCACATAGCCATTAGGGTTATGCAACACCTCTAGAATCTGAGTCAGTAATGAGGAAAGAATGTATTCGTACAAGCTGCACTGAATCAGCAGTATGAGCAGAGCATGTGTACCATAAGCAATGTTTTTGAGACAAGGCATCAGTGGTAATTTAAAAAAGCAACAAATTGTCTGGTTAGGCAGCCCATGAGATCTAATAGCCAGAAGATTTGTCGTCTGTGTGCAAGAGTTGCAAGGTAAGTAAAGATGGAGGTGAAAAAAGAAGCACCCCCTCAATTTAGCAATGTTTAAAAGCACAAGTGTGTCCCACAAAGCTGGAAGTACTTCGTATGAATGGTAGATGCCGGGCATTGCAGGACAAATGAACTGAGAGCTGGACACATTGAGTCTGTTGTGGAGAGCTTCCAGCTGATAGGCACACAGGACCCAACAGGGGGACAGACAAAAAAAAAAATAGAAGATAGGGGGTGAGGGAAAATAATTGATTGGGCAATCCAAATACAAACAATGTGGCATTTACAGATACCCACATAAAATATAATTCCCCACCCAAGAACCCTTAAAGGGATACTGGAGTATGCTGAGTGGCTGCATCTCACCTAATTTTTAATCGTGATATAGATATAACAAAAATAATATAATTGAAGAAAAATAAAAAATAAATTATATATTTACACACAAACATACATATAGGACGAGTGGAACTGTTCTATAAACTTGTAGTAACCTTACCACAGTTTACACAGCCAGGTTTACAGTTAAGGTTTTGCCAGAGCGGTCATGCACATATTTGTAGTCTGCGGCTTGACATGTTTTGTGCAAGTTGTGCATGTGGCAAACAGATGTCAAACACAGATCTTAGATAATATTGATTCAGACAACCCAGAACTATGGATTAAGGCTGTCTGGCAGCTTTAAAAGGCTCTTAAACCTGCAGAGAATTTTACAAATCAATGTGGTTCTAAGCCTCACTCAAAACCCTTCAGGATGCCCTCTACACCATTAACTTTTAATAATGCAAATTTGTGGTGGCATTTAGAGTCACCCGTTAACTTCCAAGCATAATTTATACCACACAAGGACACGATAGGTTATGAAGTGCTAGTATGCAATTTCACATGTCATTAGATTATGTAGTATGAAAGACATAAAAAAACGAAACAACCCAAAAACAATGAACTACTAGATATTAAGTACTATAACAATGGATCAATATGATGTACTAAGCAGAACACTTACAGGGTTATTCTCTGCACTAAAATATTTAAGTTGGAAACATTCTAATCTCATCTTAAAGGGAAACTATAAGATAAATATTTATTTATGATGCAGAGTATTATGGGAAAAGGAATTTATCCTTCAAGAGCAGTCCACTCCTTCAAAATGGCAGTTGGTATCAATTTCATACGGCCCAGCTCACTGTTTAGGGAACTCTGCTCTGTGCAGCTACTGGAGTCATCACATGTGCAGTCAGTATCTTGTAAATTTCTCTTGAGGGAAGAGTGAGAGCTCAGACCATATGGTACAAACAGTGTGCGCATGCACAACTCGGACAAAACTTGTATCTGGCAGCCAGAACTGAGAATTAAAGCCGTCTGAACACTCTGAGGGAGTGTTGAACATAAACTGTGGGTGATAGCCCAGTGAGCTGAGAGTGGATTCAGAATACTATATACACCATGGGTAGGCAACGTTCGGCACTCCTATTGTGGATTACATCTCCTCATCAGCTTTCCCAGAATAATGGCTGCAAGACCATAATGGAAGATTTAGTCCACAACAAATGGAGTGCCAAAGGATGCCTACACCTGCTATACATCATCAACTTTGCAAGCAAAGTTGTAAAGCCACTTAGAGTCACCCTTTCATTTTTGCCACTCAGGTTTCCATTTTCTACAATTTGGAGTTTAATGATTGACCCAGCCACTTACAAATGGCCAGTTATTTACCTTGGCATGCGGAGACTGCAACTTGTGATACATTTCTACAGAGTAATGGTGAAGCCACATTTCCACAAAGGCCTGAGAAGATTGAAAGAGATAAAATTATGCTAGCAGACAGTCATTAATACAATTATAATTTCTGTGCAATATACAATTCTATATATGTTATGTATATAGATAAAAAAATAAATAAAAAAAACATAAAATTTGTATCGTCATTTCTTTTTTTATTGGACTAAGAATTTAATGACAAGCTTTCGGGAGAACCTCCCTTTCTCAAGTCTGAAGCATTTCTGAGCAAGACAACACATAGAATTCAAAGTTGAGTTGTGATACAGGGGTTAAAGCGATATGAGTGCAGATAAGACACAGGGTTGATAGAAAATAGACAACATTCTTGCAGAGGATCATAAATATCTTTCTGAAGATCAGAGTGAGGGGGGAGAGGGAGAAAAACAAAAAACAAGGAGACATTGCAGAAGATGGTACACTTTATACACACACACATATATATATATATATATATATATATATATATATATATAGAGAGAGAGAGAGAGAGAGAGAGAGAGAGATAGAGATATAGAGAGAGAGATATAGAGATATATAGAGAGAGAGAGAGAGAGAGAGAGAAAAACACATATACATACACACACGAACTCATATACACAAATATAAATGCACAGTCACATATATAAGCATGCATAAAAGTATGGGAAAGCATAGGTCTATACATAGTACTTTGTATATAGATAGAATAAACATATTGAAATGCATTATGAAATGTTGATACATAGAACAGTAAGATAATGTTGGGGGAGTGTTCATGTAAAGTGTTAGTAGTGGGACACTTTACTTTTTTGGGGGCTATTCTCAGCCAACCTGCACCTTTCACTTTCAGGCACATCTTCTGCTATTTATGATACCCCACTCATCCCCCTGCCTCTTCTTCTCCTAACATTAGTTGTTTTAAATGTTAAACTCTATCACATTGATCAGTTTTGCTTCAGACCTGAAGAAGAAAGGAAAACTCTCAAAAGCTTGTCTTTGAAATCTTATGTTAGTCCAATAAAAAAAAGGTATCATTGCATACTGCAATACTCTGGTATTTTGGCGATATAGAATTCTGTTTTATGCAACAAAATATATATATGGTGTGCGTGTATATGAAACCAAGAGGGCTGCACTCACCTGAACATGCATACATTATAGGGTGCTGCTGGGGCCCATATACACAACATACAAAATAAACAATCCAGCACACACGCATATTATATATATATATTTCCAAGTCTGTAAGAGAACAGATACTGAATACCTACCACTTTCAGTGCAAGTGTTATAATATTCTTAAAATTGCAACACAGTCGAGAAGTAAACAGAATTTAAAAAAGCCTACTAGTTAATATGTAAAGAAATATATTTTGTTGCATAAAACAGAATTCAAGCAAGATTATTTAATGAAATGCAATGCTTGTATAAATGATAAAGAAAAAAAGTAGTAAAGTGTGAAAAAAGCTATGTAAACCATAATTCAGTAACACTGAATAACTTCAAGTTAATGGGACACTAAGCACCTAAACCACTACAGCTTAGTCTAGTGGTTCTGTTGCAAAAACAGTGTTTGCATTTGTCTCTAAGGATTCCTGAGACCAGCAAAAACTAAAAGCAAGTAATATTTTTTTGTTTTAAATCAGGGTGGTGGAAGACTGAATCTAAGTAGATCGGAGAACCCTTGCAGAGAGTTAGAAATTACTAGAAATACAGGTCTGTATTTGAAACATTACAATGTTCCTTTAAAAGAAACATTATATAGCATTAGGAATACAAATGTGCGTTCCTAGTGCTATTGTGTCCAAGCCACAGTTTAGTTGACCCCCCCCCCCCCACCAGGAGTGTAAAAGAAAATAATTAAACAAAACGCTGAAAGACCATCTGATTGAAATAGCCAAGTTTTGTTCGGCTATTTTGTCAAAAGCATCTCTAGTTACCCTGCAATGTAAACATTTCTATTCCTGCACAAGAGTGATTGTTTACACTGCAGACTTAAAATGAGAGGAACATGGCACCTAGACTACTTCACTGAGATGAAGAGGTCTGGGTGTCAATAGTATTTCTTTAATCCCTTTGTGACCAGACTGTTTTTCAATTTTCTTACCGTTTAGGACCAGTGCTGTTTTTACATTTCTGCGGTGTTTGTGTTTAGCTGTAATTTTCCTCTTATGCATTTACTGTACTCACACATATTATGTATCGTTTTTCTTGCCATTAAAAGGTCTTTCTAAAGATACCATTATTTTCATTATATCATATAATTTAGTATTAATTTTTTATAAAATAAGATGACATTTAAAAAACAAAACAAAAACAAAACACCTTTTTCTAGCCCCCAAAATGTATGCATCTACAACCGCTAAAAAACACCCGTGCTAAATAGTTGCAGTTGATACTCACTTGCAATAAAGTTTCCGATCTCCATATTTCCTGTGCTGCAGGATCAGCATTCACCAGATGTTGATGACAAACGTGTCTCTTCAGAAGACTTGGGTGAGTACCATATGAGGTGAATGGAATTGATGGGGACCTGAAATGAAAAATGTATTGCTTGCAAGATAAGCCTAGGCAGAGAGAACACTAGTATTTAAAGTAACATTTGAAAAAGAATAATTCATGCCTGAATAATAAAAATGCGGATTTAATTCACTCCAATAATATACAATTAGTTTGTCATGTTACCTGGGGGCAGGCGAGGGCACAGCTCCTCCTGGATTAGAAAAATGAGGAGGGGGGACATTCCCCTCAACAGGAAGAAACCACTTCAAGTATTTGTCCACTAGCAAAAAATATGCACTGTTTGATGTGCTGGCGAGATGCCCCTGAGGGTAGTTCTGCATGGGAAGAATTGAAAAAACACTTATCCACTCTGCTTGTCTCCACACATACTGGATTGTATAGGAACTGATATAATCCTAATATTATTCAAGACCTGCAGGAACTAAATGGATATTTACTGAAAGCCAAAATAAGGGATTTCCTATAAATGAAAGTTTTTTTTTTTTTACTAAAACTAATATCAGATTATTTTTTTTATAGCAGCTGAGTTCAGAAACTGTTAAATGGCTTAAACCCAACGTTTGTCCTCTGGCGCCTGACAGCTCTGGCTCCTCTGTCTTTCTCTGGCCACCGTACAGATCAGGAGGGTTTGCCTTGGTGGTTGCGGATAGCTTGAGAGTGTTAGTCCATCAAGTGTGTTTGGGTAAATGTCAGTAATATGAAAATTCGTCGTTAATTTTATATTCTCTGAATGCTGTGAATACATACCCTTTGAGTGATGAGACAGATGGCAAAGTGAAACATAAAATACTCAAAAGGGTCTGAAGACATGTAATTAAGGAACAACATAGTATTTGTTTAAGATAAAAAATAAAAAAAAAAATCACATTCAATGAAGAATACTGCATTATTTAAAAATAAGTAAGAAATCAGAGCAAGTGAAGTATTCACTTTAAAGCAAAAGAAAAAAATGTCAACAAGGTTTAGCTCCATAAACATCCAACTAATAAGTGTATACAACTTTTTGCTAAGGAAACAATGGTGATACTTTTCTGGAGGTGTCTGGATAACTCACTCTCTGTAATCAGTGAAGATGATGCTTGCTTCATATATGTAGCATTCTAATTCCTTTTCTAGAAGTGAAATATCTCTATAAATAAGTCTAGTCCAAAACAAAAAACAAAAAACTTGTTTTGCTCATTTTAGTTCCATTTTCTAAGTGGTACAGCAAAGGATACTCAGAGACAGATTATTGCTTAGTCCGCCTGCAGTGGGAAGCTGAATCTTATTGTGGTATAAAGAACATTCCGGCAGCATTCTTTCTTGTAAAGATGCTCGAACGGGCCCCTAGAAGAATAAAATTATTATCTTTACATAGATACACATTTACGGATGATTTTATGAAGAACTTGAAAATGCATTTCTTACGGGAAGGTAAGAGATGGGGAACTCATACTTGTATTCCTCAGCCTGCAGCTTATATATCATTTTCATCATGGAACCACTAAGAAAAACACAGAAGAAAAACAACATGTAATAATAGTTCATCAGAGCTAATCACGACACACCCAAGATGTTGAGTTTACCCTGGATGCAGAAATTCTAGGACAGTGTGAAAATCATTTGGGTTGGCATGCTCCTGCATACCACGAAGGTTCCAGCCCAAAAGGCTGCCATCAAGGCTACCGAAAATTGTCTCAATCAGCCATTGAAAGAGTGAATGCAGCTCCTGAGACCAGAAGGAAAACACATTGTCACATTTATGCAGGGTATTATCCCATATGTTATACATATTGAAATATCATGGAGGGATCATAACAATAAAACAATCATATTGAGTACAACATACAATAAATGGAGGAAAATACTTAAAAATTGTTCTTACTTGTAAAGAATTGAATTTTAGGAGAAAATTTGTCCCAATAAATGACAAAGAATAAGCAGTGATTGTGTAGGTGAAAATATACATTAAAGAAGTACAATTATATGGTGCTTAATTATATACTCAAAATAGTAGTGAGAGGATACAGTTGTGCTAAAAAGTTTGCATACCCTTGATGCTTTGGTAATATATGTATTATTATTGTTGCCATTTATATAGCGCCAATAGATTCCGTAGCGCTTTACAATATTATGAGAGGGGGGATGTAACTATAAATAGGACAATTACAAGAAAACTTACAGGAACAATAGGTTGAAGAGGACCCTGCTCAAACGAGCTTACAGACTATAGGAGGTGGGGTATTAGAAACGTTAGGACAGGAAATATCAAATAGTTAGGGAGTGAAGCAGAGCTGGAGGAGAGAGTAAAGCACTGTGCTAATGGAGAGGGCAAGAGACAGGTATGTAAGGTAGAGATTACTCTGGGAGGCCATAAACGTTCCTGAAGAGATGGGTTTTAAGGTCCTTAAATGTATATTTTTTTTATAGGAAACATTAGTGAACAGGAAAAACATTTATTTTATTTCTTTTGGTATTCATGCTCAACTGTAGGTTTTATCAGAATGGAACAGTCATAAAACAAAACATGGCAACAAAGAAAAAAATTAAATGACCCCTGTTCAAAAGTCTGCATACTCTTAGTTTTTAATACTGTGTATTGCCCCCCCTTTAGCATCAATAACAGCATGCGGTCTTTTGTAATAGTTGTCTATGAGGCCCCAAATTCTTGCAGGTGGTATAGCTGCCCGTTCGTCTTGGCAAAATGCCTCTAGGTCATGCAGAGTCTTTGATAGTCTTGCATGAACCGCACATTTGTGATCTCCCCAGAGTGGCTTGATGATATTAAGGTCAGGAGACTGTGATGGCCACTCCAGAACCTACACCTTTTTCTGCTGGAGAGTAGACATGGCCTCGTGCTTACGGTCATTGTCATGCTGGAAAGTCCAAGAGCGTCCCATGCGCAGCCTTCGTGCAGAAGAATGCAAATTGCCTGCCAGTATTTTCCGATACCATGCTGCATTCATCTATCCTTGAAACAACCACACTGTCTTTTTTTTTCAGAGCAGCCTGTATTTCTCCTGAGGTTACCTGTGGATATTTCTTTGTATTCTGAACAATTCTTCTGGCAGTTGTGGCTGAAATCTTTCTTGGTCTACCTGACCTTGGCATCAAGGGATCACAGGATTTTCCACTTCTTAATAAGTAATTGAACAGTATTGACTGGCATTTTCAAGGCTTTGGGTATCTTTTTACATCCTTTTCCATCTTTACAAAGTTCTAATACCTTGTTACACAGGTCTTTTGACAGTTCTTTTTTGCTCTCCTTGGCTCAATATCTAGCCTGCTCAGTGCATCCACATGAGAGCTAACACACACATTAAAAATCCTTTAAAAAGCCACAGGTTTAGGAAATTAATCTTTTAATTGCCTTTTTGACCTGTGTATGTCACCTTGAATATCTGTAACAAGCCCAAACATTCAAGGGTATGTAGACTTTTGATCATGGTCATTTGGGTGATTTCTGTTATCATTAGGATTTAAAAAAGGAGCCAACTATGTGATAATAAATGGCTTCATATGACCACCATACTTCAACAAAATACTTTTTTTTTGAACGATGAGTCATATTTTCAAAATCAATGCCAAAATTTCACAATTTTTGCCAGGGTGTGCATACTTTGCAGCACAACTGTTTAAGCAAACATTCTCAGAGAAAGAAAATGATGGATCCTGCAAATATATTTATCACACTACCTTAGCAGGAAAATCCTCAATAATTCTGGCAATGTCCTGGCACCTCTGGAATATTGGTTTGTTTACACAATCTGCTTTGAGTGAGGCCTGCAAAAGAAATTTAAATAAGTCAGATAAAAAAAACAAACCATTACATAAGGAGTAAGGTGGGCATAATATCTTCATGATGGACATTTAATTAGGATTTAAAGTAGCACTGTAAATTATGGTGTATTTGCATTTTTTTCCCCCTCAAAGACCCCTAATATAGTCCTCATGTTGACAACGTATATTGTTTATAGTTTTCAGGCAATGATTGGCTTAAAACATAGAAAAAATTAGCAATAGGTGACCAGGGGATCAAGCTGGAGGATGCATTGTGACTCCTAGTTTTAATCAATTTGAAATTGCAGGTAATAGGAAAAGGAGTGATCTCCTTAGAGAAGATGTGTGGCAAAAAAAAAGGAGGGATTTTTGTTTTCTCACTTACTATACTCAATAATATCAAAATAATCATTAATAACTTGCCCATTGTACATGGTGCTGCTCAATTACATCAGCTCAATTCCAATGACATTAAATACGTTGCTAAGAGGGCACCAACTTTGGCACATAGGTTATCCTCAAGACTTTTTGTCAGTAATGATGTGAAAGTCCGTGTCAATCAGAATATGCGGTTAAAATACAAAATGTTCTTTTAAATGTGGTTATTCTCCTTGCAAAGTTTGTAGATACAAGAGATGTTTTGGATCTTTAATTTATCACTAGATCACCCTTAAGATTAAGTGTAGAATGGGATCTTTCATTATCTTATTGAGGAATAATTTTATTTTTTGTGGTAAAGTTACTGGTTAGATTTTTTCAGGGTGCTTTAATGTCAGTCTTCATCAAATATGACTTTTACAGTATTGGTATTGCGATTCCCCTTTCAATGGATATGGTGCCATGTTTTAAGAAGTCCACTTGGAGATATTGCTATTTTCTATGGCAACTAAATTATTGTTATAACTGTTTCCTGCTAAAGGGGATACGTTGTAGTCCTGTATATTATACACATTTAAATCTTGTTTAAATCTCTCCCTTAGGAGTGCTTGCAACTTTGTTTTGTTACGTTTTCTAAACTTTATTTGTATCTAGACAACTGACGTATATCACTGGAATATAGTATCTCTGATTGCTACTGAACTGACAGATTTTTAACTGTTTCTATTTTTCTACTTTGTTTTACATAACAGTTTATATGAAGATTATGTGATAGTTTGTTAATATATGGCAATATACTGTGTGTTTAAGGTGAATATAAAATTAATAACAGTTTATGATGATTGTTAGATTACTGGGTGTTCAGTATGTATTTTTATAGTTAGGTTTATATAGTTTATTGTTTCAATATATACATGTCCACATGTTGAATTATGTGGTTTTGTACTTGCATTATCTTTGCCCAGCGTTGTTTTGATATAATTTGTTTCATTACATCTCTTTACATCATTATCTGGTTGTGTAACACAATATTTTCTCCTATGGGGTGGGTTTTAGGATATTGGATCCTTGCATGGTTAAAGGACCACTCTAGGCACCCAGACCACTTCAGCTTAATGAAGTGGTCTGGGTGCCAGGTCCTTCTAGGGTTAACCCATTCTTTTATAAACATAGCAGTTTCAGAGACAGCCGCTAAAGGCGCTCGCGTGATTCTCACTGTGAAAATCACAGTGAGAGCACACAAGCGTCCATAGGAAAGCATGGATAATGCTTTCCTATGCGACCGGCTGAATGCGCGCGAAGCTCTTGCCGCGCGTGCGCCTTCAGCCGACGGGGAGGAGAGCTCCCCGCCCAGCGCTGGAAAAAAGTAAGTTTTTACCCCTTTCCCCCTTCCAGAGCCGGGCGGGAGGGGGACCCTGAGGGTGGGGGCACCCTTAGGGCACTATAGTGCCAGGAAAACGAGTATGTTTTCCTGGCACTATAGTGGTCCTTTAATAATACGTGATTTCCCAAGTACTGAGACTTCTTTCATCTTCCACTCTATGTGAGGAACGGGGATTTTCTATTTATCACGGTGAAATTGATGGTGTTGTAGAACATGAAACAAATCAATTACCAAAACCTGCACACCACTTGCTATTTTTTCCTCTTACCACTGCCCACAGTTATCTAAGCAGATTAGTGGCAATGGGAGTTTTGTATAGTAGTGTTTCTGTAAGAACAGTAATGCAATGACAACACATCAATTCAATGTATAATCTAAGCGGCAAAGAAACATTAGCTTAAAGGGACACTTGACTGCCAAAATAAAAACAACTGTTTAGTAGATGTTTCCATATGGGGTATATCTAAAATCAGATTTCAAAAGTTGCAGATCTCTTGTAGCCTTTGCATGTCCACCCCCTACTAACTATCTGTGGTTGTCCAATTACAGAGTTCTCAATGCTGCACAATGAGAAGTCTTTGCAAGGCATGTACTCTGGCCCTTTGCCTGTCTGCCTCTTGAGTTTGGCTTCCCTGAGCTAATCAACCAATGAGTAACAAATTGGCTGTATGCTTGACAGCAAAGGAGTGTAACAAGATTAAATTATAAAAGTGACAATTTCTATTGAAACCTGCACTTTTTATAAAATGGAGAAAAAGGAGGGCACACTCTTCATTCATAAAGCAAGTTGAAGTGCCTTAGGGGTCTGCAGTGTTCCTTTAATGAAATTGTTTGGTGCATATAACATGTCCCAGTATTACGGCTCAATTCTCTGCCATTTGGAAGTTCACTACAATCTATATAAGATACCTATTGTCTTGTAAAAGTAACAATTGAAAATTGGGTATACGTGACGTACACATTAAAACATGGATACTTTAGTGTAATATTTTAAATTTCCTTTGTCCATTCTCCACAATTCCCTGATTAAATATTAAAATCTAGAATTAGCCACATTGTGCGCTGGGGGGCGAATCTTCTTACAGGGTTAGTCACTAGAGTGAGAATTCCAAATAGAAGTCCAATGTAGTGAAACAAAGTGAGTAACCCTTTAAGAGCTGGTTGGTGTGCAGCTATTCCTCGCCCAGCTCCACTTCATGCTCCATCTACACTTCCAATGTGTCTGCAAGGTTTAATACGATATTGGCTACTTTACTGACACTATCCATGGCCCATTATAGTCTCTATATAAACACGTGTCGCTTTCTCTCACCAGTAGGAAGCTGGGCTGCAGGTGCCCACCGGGGAGGCTCATGTTTCCCACGAGTTTATGACTCCGGTTCTCCGGTTCGAGACTCGCGCCACAGGCACAAAGTTTGCTCGGCGCGTTAGTGACGTATAATCACAGCGCCAGCACTAGGTCTACCTCCTTAGCGTGTGTCTAACACTAGAGTTCTAAACGCCGAAGAAGAAACCGAGAGAGTGTATGTCTCCGCTGGAGGCGCCATTTTGGTGGAGGTCATTGTATTTGCTCCAAAGGAAGGCCTAGGTCAGGAATAGTGACTACACTATGTGCTTATAACCGGACGTGTCTCAGTGTGTATGCAGCACGTCCTGGTTACTGCTCGATATAATTAAACACTGCATGGCATTTATTGATCCATGGGATGAATGGTCTGCGAAGCCATAGTGACTAACGGTTGGACAGGGAGCAGCTGATGATTGCATGGCTAATGGCTGACCTGGCCGCCCTGTGTACACTAATGAGTGTGAGGACGATAAACTTACACGGAAAGCTCTGTCCAGGGATTTACCCCTAAAATAAATGCTATTAGACACATGATTACTATGCGCCCCAGTGAGTCCGGTCAGCCAGCTGTACACAAGCTGCAGGATGCCGCTGGGTTCATGTCTATGCTGGTATCTAATCTCCTTAAGCAGTGTCTGTATCCATTGCTGGATGCTGCCCATGTCCGCAGTATGTACTAAGCAGCTCGCCTGGTGCTCAGACATCAGGGATAGCACGTGGAGCAGGCCCCATGGGGAGCCACGTGCGCGCTGTAAACACGTGTCTGTTGTGTTATTACTGCTAGATCAGAGCAATTTAGCCTCCAGCATCTTGAATATCATTATTTAAAATAAGGTCTATGGTGGCATAGTAAATGGCAACATCCAGCCAACTGTTTGCGGTGTCTCTGCAAATATGACCCAAAATAAACTCAACTGGCCCCCACCATAACTATAGCCCATAATAACCACAAAACCGTTATGTAGAGATAGTTTATAGAGGGCCAGATTGACTTACATAAGACAAAGATGACAAGAATAGGTGCAAGACTCAAGTCTCACTAAATGCCAACCAAACAAGATGGGAAAAAAAAAGAATCAGCACTCAAGAGGCATAAAGTTTGTCATTATTTTCAAGGTTTTTTTTTGTTATGCAAAGTGTATTGCCAAAAACAGTTATTTTTTTTCTTAGCATGAGTCAAGAACAGTGAGACACCAAATTAAAGAATCCAATATAAACACAAATAGACCTCCCCTACCCCGCAACTGTTAATAAAGTGTTTAAAACTCTCTATTTACTTACCTAATTCCATGTCCCTCGGTGCTGGGTCACAGCTCCTCCTCCAACACTCGTTTAGGGGGGCGCTAATGTGCATGTGCGGCTAGTGCTGCACGCACATTAAGTCTCCCTATAGGAAAGCTTTGAATCAAGAGAGCAGAGCGTGAGGACACCAGTGTCAGTTAGCAGACCAAAAGTACTGCAACATTCTTGAAGCGCCTCTAGTGGCTGTCTGGTTTCTCAAAAACTGCACCGTTTAACATTGCAGCACTAAGTGCAATAGGGACACTGTACCCTGATCACTTCAATGAGCTAAAGTGCTCTGGGTCACTACAGTGTCCCTTTAATAAAATTATACTTGACAAAGGTACACCGTGCCCCCACAGAGGCTATCAGGTGCGTCACTAGGAGGGGGCGCCAAATGGAGCCATTGCCCCCCTACAGTGTCCCCCCCAATTTAAACAGAAGCTACGGCTCACTGTTCTGCCTTCGACTTTACTGTCGCAAGGGAGCACTGATTTACCCACCCTCGCAGCTGAATGATTTATGTTGTGGCAGGCTCGGGTTCGCCTGTTTACGAGGTGGCGCTCCTCATACTGAGCAGCGCCTCCGTGCATGACGTCAAACGGCCAAAACATAGAGAGTGCGAGGGAGCGGAGTAGGAGTGGACAGTGCGGGGCGGCCACACCTTATTAGACGGCACTGCAGAGTAGACAGGAGCAAAAGCAGAGTGGAGCAAGCAAGCAGAGCTGAGCAGAGAGGACCAAGTGCAGAGCAGAGAGGAGCAGATAGTGCGGCCAGCGGCCTGTGCCACATCGCAGTTCTGAGAAAAGTGACTTACCCCTGATTGCAGTGAGTGTGACAAAAGTGAGCCACCGCTGATTGCAGACAGTGAGTGGTATGACAGTGACATTTACCCCTGAGATTGCAGGCAGTGGTGTGACCATGTCACCTTACTTACCTACCTGAGATTACAGACAGTGGTGTGACAGTGTCACCTTACTTACCTACCTGAAAATTGCAGACAGTTTGCAGTACGGCCACACGTAAGGTGTGAAACCTTACCTACCTGGGAATGCAGTTTGCACAGGGACTGAGGAGTGAGTTGAGCGGATAGTATGGCTACACCTTACCTACCTGAGATTGCAGTTTGTAGAGGAACTGAGCGAGCCAAGTGGACACTCCAGACAGTGGCATTACTACAGTAAGTAATGTGAACTTTAATTAAAGCTTTGGAATAAATAATATGTATGTACCCAGGATTACATATTGTGCGCATAAGAATAAAATAAGTCATTTTAGTTTGTGTTGATATAGGATTCACCAACTTTTATACAGGTCGCAGAGAGGGCAGAGCAGGTCACAAACCTTAGTTTAATGAAGCAGTTGTGGTATGTAAATCATGCCCCTGTAGTCTTACTGCTTAATTACCTGAAGTTTAGCAGTTAAATCACTTTGTTTTTGCAGCTCTAGCCACATCTCCCCTAGCCTTGACTCACATAGCCTCAAAGAAAAAGAGGTTTCATTTTTACAGTACAGTGCAGGGCCAGACTGGGAAAGAAATTTGGCCTCAGCATTTATTTTGAACATCAGCCTGCCGAAGAGCTCTCGCATGAGGAAAAAGGCCCTGTGTTTGTTCTGCACGGCACAAGCACATTTAGTAATACACTTGCACTGTGTTTGCTTGTGACTTGTCTCTGGTGTCTCCATAAGTGGAATACAAGAGAACAAAAGGCCAAGAAAAGCATATTGTGCATGTGTTTGGAGGCTGCTTGTGGGATTGCGTGTGTAGAGTGAGTGTGTGGATAAGTGCTGTAGAGAGTGAGAGAGTGTGTCTATAGGGGCCTAGTGTGTATAGGGGATGTAGCAGGATGTCATGGCAACCGCTCCAGTCTCACAAGAGGAAGAACCTGGCAGAGCTGTAAGCTAGAGCTCCCGGGCACTCCCTCCCCCCTCGCCGGCGGCCGCAGCAAAATGCCTTTGGGCCGGTGAGGTAGACCTTAAATCCAGTGGCGTACTAAGGGGGGGTGCCACCAGGATGGGGGGTGCCATGATCAGGGGCGCCGGCTCCCCCCATGCTGCAGCCACCCGAGCTCTCTGTATAGAGCCTCAGGCGGCTGAAGCTTTGCCCGGGCGGTGCGTCCATGAGGGCGGACCGCACTGCCCGGGCACAGCCTGAGGAGAGGGGCTGACAGGAGAGAAATTGAAATTAGGAGGGGGGGAGAGAAATTAGGAGGGGGGGGTGAGAAAAAGAGAAATTAGGAGGGGGGAGAGAAATTGAAATTAGGGAGGGGGGGAAGAGAAATTGAAATTATTAGGGAGGGGAAGAGAAATTAGGAGGGGGGAAGAGAAATTAGGGAGGTGGGGAGAGAAATTGAAATTAGGGAGGGGAAGAGAAATTAGGAGGGGGGGTGGAGAGAGAAATTGAAATTAGGGAGGGGAAGAGAAATTAGGAGGGGGGAGAGAAATTGAAATTAGGAGGGGAAGAGAAATTAGGAGGGGGGAGAGAAATTGAAATTAGGAGGGGGGAAGAGAAAATTTAGGAGGGGGGAGAGAAATTGGAAATTAGGAGGGGGGGAGCATATTAGGAGGGGGGGGAGATATTAGGAGGGGGGAGAGAAATAAGGGGGGGGTGAGAAAGAGAAATAAGGGGGGGGTGAGAAGTAAATTGGAGCGGGAGGAGAGATTGACATTCATCACATACACACAATGCACACAGAAAAACACACAGACACACATACACAAGCAATGCAACCGTTACACACAATGCATCCCTTACACACACAGAAACACACAATGCATTCATTACACACACTCAATGCACCCTTTACACACATTCAATGCATCCCATACATACACAGAAACACACCTTGCAGCCCTTACACATACAAACACAATTTCACACAATGCATTCCTTGCACACATATCAGGACATCCCCTACACACTCCACCACCTGTGAACAAACTCATTGGTGGAACATGAAGGTGGACCCTGGGACCCAGACATTGATCTGTGTAAAGGACCCCCCAAAAATGGAGCTGCTTCCCGTTCTCCCAGAACATTGATTTTTGTGACCACAGTTACAAACCGCCTCCAGAGAGCCTGTTCTGCACCAGACCAGTGGAGCCAGACTGCAGCTAGAGCCCATCATCATCCTCATCTGGTTGTAAGTAGGCAATCTAGTATATTATTCGTGGCACTAAGCTCTAATTTACCTCACATTAAAGAAACACTATAGTCCCCAGAACCACTTCAGCTTAATGTAGTGGTTCTGGTGTCTATAGCCTGTCCCTGCAGGCCTTTTAATGTAAACACGGCGGCACTGCAGCACTGGCGTTAGTTAACATGGCAAATCATATGGGTGGGGCATTGTGATGTCACATGGGGGGGGCGGCAAACTTTACTTTTGCCTAGGGCGGCAAAAATCCTTGCACCGGCCCTGGCTGGAGGGGGCTGTGTGAGCTGTGGCCGCATAGTGTCCCATGGTAGTTAGGGTGCCGTGCGGCCAGTACAGCTCACACAAGCAAACAGCTGATAAACTGGCCGCACGGAGGAAATGTGTATGTGTGACTGTCTGCCTGTGACTGTATGTGACTGTCTGCCTGTAACTGAGTGTGTGACTGCCTGTAACTGAGTGTGTGACTGTCTGTAACTGAGTGTGTGACTGTCTGCCTGTAAGTGTGTGGGGCTGCAGGGATTTTGTAGAAGGGGGCGGGGGTTTTGTGTTGGGACAGGAGTCTTTATAAGGGGGGATAAACAGGGGATTTGTGGAAGTGGGTTGCGGGGGTTTTGTAGACGGGGCAGTACAGGATTTGTAGAAGGGGCAGGACAGAGGTTTTGTAGGTGGGGCTGGGCAGGACAAGGGTTTTGTAGGAGGGGCTGACAGCGGTTTTGCAAAGTTTACAAATTGTAAAAAAAAAGAAAGAAAACCTTTAACATTTTTTACAGGTTTTTTTTTGTTTATTTGTTTTTTGGGTGGGGGGGGTGCCAAGCACAGGATCCGCCCCGGGTGCCAAATGCTCTAGGTACGCCCCTGCTTAAATCTCCCCTCCGGCATGGCACACAGCAGGGACGCGCTTTGATAGTACCAGCAGGGGAGATCCTCTAAACTTCCCTCCCGGCCTTGGCCCCTGGCCATAACGGTCCAGTGGGCATTTGCCCCATTTGCCTGGTGGCCAGTCCGGGTGTGGTACAGTGTGTTCACTTAAGAGATTTTTAGCTCCCACCAGTGCATTGCTCAGAGGCAAAAAGGGGCTTTTATTATTCATTATTGGATAACCCAGGTATTTCTGATTTAGAACTGTTCACACTAATAAAGAAAACCGCTACTATCCCAACAAAGGAAATGGCTGCTGTGCAAAATGTATGTTGCAAAGCTGCAAAAGAATGCCATGACAATTTAAAATGCATAACATGCTGTCTGCCATGACAATATAAAACTCATCTCTTCATATTATTGTTATTAATTCATCCATGAAGAGATGAGTTTTACCTTGTCATGGCAGACTGCATAAAATACATTTTTCCTTGTCATTGCTGTCTATTGCAGCTTGCAAAGCAGCCATGTTCTTTGTTGTGATATAGTAGCCATTTTATTTACATTTTCTTATCTTTGATCTCCCCACTGGCCCATGAAGGCACACAGCGGGCCCTGCATGGAGCAGCCGGGGAGATCCTGTGGCCCATGGCCATTGCAGCCCGCTGTGCCTGCTCTTAATGAGCATAGAGGTGCTGGGTCTTGAGATGTACCTCTATTGATTCCAGTGTCATATATAAGATACTTCCATGGTCTTACCTTCTCTATGAGAAGCATTACTTTCCCCTGAGAGCACTCTCCCACCTCTCTGACTTAGACATTTTATAAAAGTGGTGTTTTTTTCTTAAAAATCTGCAGTTTTATAAAGTAAAATGAAGGGGGCATCTGTTTACTCCCTAAAGTACTTTAGTAAGCTTTAAAAGTTTTTTTGCTCTTACTTGTTACTTTACACTATGGATCAATGTACAGGAATTACAATGAAATGTTGACCCTTAAAAATAAAAAACAAAGAAAAGGTTTTATTTGCCTTTTACTCTTGCGCTGAGACTCCTTTGGTGCTGCTGTCTTCTATGCCTCCCATGGCATTGGCATCCCTCTCCAGCCAATGGTACAATCCTATGCTTCTCATAAAGTAGCACTGGGGACCAATGCACATGAACAGAAACTACATTCAAACACTAACTAAGGGGGGCAGGGACAGTGCATCCAGACCACTTCAATGAGCTGGAGTAGTCTGGGTGCCTATAGTGTCCCTTTAATGACAGTTAAAATACTGATCATTAAATCTATCATAAAGTAGTTCCAGTATTTTGGGGTCACAGTGTGTGTTAAAATATTGCAGCCAAGGGGGCGGAGCCTAGCAGCATACTGAAACGGACGCACGATAGATGGGCTCCACACTCATGACCGTTACAATACCGTTTCTTGCCAAGATAATGAGCCACAAAGGGGAAGACGCCCTTCAGTTTTGAAAATGCCATCCTTACCTTTTACACTGACTTGTCACCCTGCAATGGCGGCGGTCCCTCCAAACGTTCATGTTCAAGCTGTGTTTCTGCTGCCAACACTCGGCTTACCGGAGAACTTCATTACTCCTGCAGGACAGCCAGGTACAAACACTGCCATGCACCAATGGGACCCAGCGAGGATTAGACTTTTCGTGCTTCAAAGATGACAGCCAGAGGATTATGCGGCAGCCCCAACTTGAACCGTGGGACTCACTCCACACTGCCGCTTCTTCTGTCCTCAGGACATACCCCAGTTGCGGTTCAAAGTTATTTATGATTATTTTTTGCCCCAACTTTACACTTTGTTTTTCGCCCCTGAAGCATCCCAGTCACACCTGGGTATCCACTGGCCCACACTACGGGACTTTTTGGCCCAACTATGACGACCTCAGCACCAGAATCTACCTCTGCGGTCTACCATTGCATGAGTCTTACCACCCTCCTCGCCCAGCCGCATGTAGACACACTTCACCTCAATCTTCGAGACTTTCGGCCTGACAATGGCGGCCTCAGAATCGCAACTCACCTATGTGGTTGGAAGTTCTCTATGTTGCCATTTTGCTTTAGTCTGCACAACCACACCTAGGCCTACATTGCATCAGGTTGTGAGACTCTTAGCCCACAACTAACGGTCTCAGCTCCCGACCTAACCTAAGTGGCTCGCAGTGTTAGCCGTTTTTTACTAGGGCTTTATTTGCTCAGCCACACCTCAGCACTCATTGCCTCAAATTCAGAGACTCTCGGCCCACCTATAAAGGTCTTAACCCCTGGGCTTCCTGAACCAGAACCGAATATGAACACCCGACATAGACCGTAAGGCATTTACAAACAAAAAAAACCTGCTCCCATGCACAGCACCCATGCAACAGACAGTAAAGTCACATGCATACTATGATGCTTGTACTGAATAAGTTGTCTGTACCGTTATTATTCCTGCTAACCCACTCACGCTGGTGAGCCGGGACAAAAATAATAAAAAAATAAAAATAAATAAATATTGCAACCAATCGTGTATGAATAACCTACAGAGTGGGTATGGAATATGGAAGTATGTACCTTAGCTTTGGTGTAAGAGAGTGGACCAGAAAAACCACCCAACAGGTCCAGGTAAGTGTTAATGGTCATAAATTACTGTGGGGTAGTTTGTGAATATTCCTGCTTCCATAAACACACAACACACTTGTGACAGACCACTCTGTCATCCAGGAATGGTACATGCCTCCCAACAAACACCTCCCTCTAAAAGAGCTATTTTCACTTCATCTGCCTCTCAGGTCCATGCCTCCCAGTACAGCACCCTTCTTAGCATCCCCAGAGTAATCATAGACCTTCAGGAAGGATGGAAAGGTATGGCTTGTCTGGTCGGTAGCAACCTCCAACTCCTCTGGAATTCCTGATCACATCAAGGAACCGCCATGGTCTGGTAAAACGTTGTTGAGGGTGCTCTCAATCCCAGAGTCACCTATTAGAGCACTATTTGGAGTGGTGATAGAGGAGGTTGTGGGCATCCAATGGTACCCAGGACTTGAGGGAGCTCCATGTACCCACAGAAAATGCCATAGTTATATAGCTGAAAAGAGACATATGTCCATCAAGTTCAGCCTTTCTCACATTTGTTTTTGTTTTTTTACAATCTTTTTTTTTTTTTAAACAGAATAAGATAAGATAAGATAAGATAAGACAAGTATGTGTTAATTAAAAGTACGTGTTCAGCAAACACAAGTATATCGCTATGAGGTATATAAGTTTAATTATATATAAAAATAGAAATATAGTGTGATGTTATCACCGTAACATCCAGATGAGGTCGCCCCAGAAGTGCCAAACAGGGGATTTGAACCTGGGTGCTTTATGGTTCTCAGCCTGTATGCCTGCCTCTGAGCCACTTCAGTTCTTGGTTTGGCCAGAAACTTATCCTTGCCATGTCTCCAGCACTAGGGGCTGGACTTAACCTGTGACTGCTCCTGTCAATCATGGTCCAGCTGTAAAGTATTACTGATTATAAGACACTGCCTCTCCCTTATCCATATCCAGATCGTGTATTCTCCAGTTTGTCCCTGGCTCTTGACCTTGGCTTGTTTCTTTGATTTCTCTGGCTTCACCTGACTTTGGCTCTCCATGACTACTCATCAGCTTGTCCTTGCCTGTAGTGCGACTTGGAGTTTATCCCTGCACAGCCCCTGTGCACAGACTCACAGGCCAGGTGAATTCTTACCTGACCACCTTGGTCTGTGTCTATTTGCAAGGGTGAGCATATCTCTGCCTATCGGACTCCCACCTCAGGTAAGCTGTGACAGATATATCCTAGGTTAGCAATTTACATATATAGAAACTATATACATATAAAAATCTAATCAATAGCGATAAATTAGGTTAGACAGCTTAAATATCCTGAAATTGCCATAATGCTTAGGTGAGCAAGGACACATTGGTTTGAGACCAAAGTCCACATTGAGAGTAAAGAAGAAACACTGACCAAAGCATCTTGAAAGTAAACATTCCTAAATTGTCCAGAACAAGAATTAACCCTTTATGATGATAGCTGGTAACATTCCTGACGTAGACAACAGCTCCACCTGCTGTTTAAGACATATACAGGGAGTGCAGAATTATTAGGCAAGTTGTATTTTTGAGGATTAATTTTATTATTGAACAACAACCATGTTCTCAATGAACCCAAAAAACTCATTAATATCAAAGCTGAATATTTTTGGAAGTAGTTTTTAGTTTGTTTTTAGTTATAGCTATGTTAGGGGGATATCTGTGTGTGCAGGTGACTATTACTGTGCATAATTATTAGGCAACTTAACAAAAAACAAATATATACCCATTTCAATTATTTATTATTACCAGTGAAACCAATATAACATCTCAACATTCACAAATATACATTTCTGACATTCAAAAACAAAACAAAAACAAATCAGTGACCAATATAGCCACCTTTCTTTGCAAGGACACTCAAAAGCCTGCCATCCATGGATTCTGTCAGTGTTTTGATCTGTTCACCATCAACATTGCGTGCAGCAGCAACCACAGCCTCCCAGACACTGTTCAGAGAGGTGTACTGTTTTCCCTCCTTGTAAATCTCACATTTGATGATGGACCACAGGTTCTCAATGGGGTTCAGATCAGGTGAACAAGGAGGCCATGTCATTAGATTTTCTTCTTTTATACCCT